ATACTGTTCATCGCTTAGGACCAAAAATGCTCACTGACAAGCCGAACTTGTCAAGATGTTATATGATAAGTTGATTCACTTAACACTGACTCTTGTTCTAAGTGCAGAGTTTGGAGTGTTCCCTTTTTTGCCCTAAGCTTTTGACGTAAGGTCATTGCCTTTTTGTTTCTACGGTTCTTTTATATATTTATTTGTTTTTGACGTTGTTGTCTTTGTTTTCATTAAATGTCAGGGGTATACGGCATACTGTGAAAAGGAAAGCTTTATTTTTATTTGCGAAACAACTGAAGCCTGATTTTTGTTTTTTCCAAGAATCCCATTCATCTGTTAATGATGTAAAATTTTGGAGATCACAATGGGGAAATTACCTTTGGTTTTCCCATGGAACTGAACACTCTGCAGGAGTTACTACTCTAAGAAATGCATTTAAAGGGAATATATTACACTCGGACTGTGATTCATATGGACATTTTTTGTGTCATGTCATTGATCTTAATTCAACTTTTATTATTATGGCCAATATTTATGGATTTAATTCAAGGTCTGAGAATGCTAGTTTTCTTGAGTTTATAGAAAGCAGACTGCTATACTGGCTGAAAAAATTCCCAAACTCTCTGCTTGTTATAGGTAGGGATTTCAATATTGCAATTGACAGTGCTCTTGATAAATGGCCTCCCGGCCGACCCTCATCACTTAATTTAAAATGTAAACAATTCATGGAGAGACTTGATTTGATTGATGTCTGGAGGTCCAAATTCCCTAATACTAAAGCATTTACCTGGAGCAACAAGGCTGCTTCTCATTTCTCTCGTATAGACTTTTGGCTGATCTCTAATTCTATTGACATTCACAGTACTTTAGTTGATATTCTCCCAACTCCCCTAACTGACCATAAGGCTATCTATATAAAAATTAAGCTTTCTGTAAGCACTTTAAATGCTATTAAACCATCATATTGGAAGTCAAACAGCTCTCTATTATCTCATAATACCGTTAAGCTTAAAATTAATTATTTCATTAACCATTATTGGAAAAAAGCAGTAAGGGAACGCTCTTTTAGAGATCTGTTGTTTTGAATACTTATGAAAATGGTGGTCTATGTTAGATTTTTGCACATTTAATGATACTCTTAAAATTAATTGGGCCAAACACTTTCTCAAAAATCCAACTGTACCCGGTAGTTTTATTTTTCTTGTTTTTTTTTTTTTTCTTATTATTTATTTTGTTCTACATTGTGACTGCTTTTATCTTTGTCTGTATAATGTTCTTAATAAAAAAAAAAATAATAAAAAAAAATAAAAAAAAAAAACATTAAAATAATAATGAGGTAAGAAGACGTTATTAAAGCAAACAGAGTCTGAAGAAACCAGAGGAGATGCTGAATAGATGCGTTCAGAATTATAATATAGAAACATATGAAGGACTTTAATCACAGTACAGTATAAAACACCATACACATGAAGATGAATAATAGTGATTGACAGCTGATGCACATCAGTGTTGATGTCAGGAGCAGAGATGCTAGTTTGAGGATTTGAGGGAAACACAAAGACAGAATAACAGAATCTGGTAATATTGAGCACTTTGACACCATAAAATAATACATTGTCCATTGTGAGGTGCAAAATTATGACTTTGTTCAGTATATCAGGGTAAAATGATAAATTAAAACAGGAATATGCTGTAAAATAAGAAAACAGTGAGCTTGTATAATTTTAACATTATATATTTACACGACAAGCTTTTAACGTTCATTTTATTCCACTGTTACATCATGTATTTAAGCTACAAGAAAATAAAACGCTTCATCAACTCTTCACTAATGACAGCTGTCAATCATATGTGGCTCCGCCCACAGAGCTCAGGATTGGTTCCTTTGTGCTCCGCCTCTCACTGCAGCATCTTCCTGTTGATCTGAAGAAACAACAAGAAGAAGAACGACTGACTGAAGTTCATCAACAACATTATAAACCTTCCACAAGCTTCATAAAACAATCAAACTAGAACTGAAGAGAGTTGTATTGATTATATGGAGAGGAGCTGCAGTTCAGACACTTACTGATGGATTCTCATGTTTAGGATCAAGAGTCTTCAGGAGGTCTGGGACGAACGGTCTGTGTGGAAGACAGCGAGAGATCGGTCATGTGATCATCTGTGATGATGATCTGACTTTGACGTCTCACTTACCGTGAGTGTGTCGTACAGGTCAGAGGTCGTGGACTTGAGCTCAAGAGCTGTATATGTGTCTTCACTGGGATCAGACATCTACAGCGACAGAGAAAGAAAATAGGAGCACGTAATATAAGCAAGAATGTATAGCACAATATTAAATATAGGATTTATTTGGATGGAAAATGGACTTGTCAGACTGATTCAAACCAATAAATCTTGAGCTCATCGGGCTTTTAATGATTCGTTAAAACAACAGACTCATACGAGTCATTTGTTTGTGAATCAGACTCGGCTGCTCATGTTTTGTGTTTGTTTTGTGTTCAGGTTTTGAGAAGAGTTCAACAAATTTAAACAAATATTTAAATGTAAATAAGTGTTTTTATATTTTGAATTTCTTAAATCATGTGTCACGCCAACTGAGGACGCTGCAGATACAGTTTCAGAAAGCACTGGGCTAAAATAAGAGAACAATTAGTTTTTAAAGGTTTTTCTGCTGGATTCTGTTGCTAAAAGACTTTTTAGTTTCTCATCATTCTGTACAGTTACAGTCTGAAACACACATAACAGCTGATCGATTGATTTTCTGCTTCTGTAAAGTTGTGTTTGAATGTTTTACCTGTTTCACTGTGTTATCTTCAGTTTTAACACACCTTTGTTTCCTCCTGTTAAAACGACATTAACAACATATGGACGACAGCATTAAATTAATAGAGAATATGAATGTTTTAAAAGATTACTAATAATCACACACAGCCGATCCATTTCCTTCTGTTAAACCAAAATGAACTTATACAATATAAAAGTGCATTTATGAAGTCAATGCAGTTTATAATTGAACTCACATTATAAACAATATTATAATGATGATGATAATGATGATGAATAATCCTCCAGATGTTGCTGCGATCACAATCACATTCCTATCAGCACCAGGATGAACTGAAAGATGAAGATCATCATAATTAACAAACTGATGATTGATGTGAAGATACAGGAGTGTGTTAATAAAAGCTTCACCTGTGACAGTAACAGCGTCTGATCTCTGAGATCCATGTTGATTGTGAGCCTCACAGTAGAAGCGTCCACTCTGTAGTGCACTGAAACTCTGTCCAGATCCAACAGCTGAGCTTTGATTCTCCTTAAACCAGCTGAAGTTCAGAGCAGGAGGGTTTGAATCACTGCTGCAGCTCAGAGTCACTGAATCGCCCTCCACTATTTCAGCAGATGGACTGATGGCGATCAGTTGAATCAGTGGAGGATTCACAGGTGTCAGTATTTACAGTACAATAAGTATTCATTTATATGTGACTGGTTTTACTGTTTTCATTATAAGAATTGGCACCAGTGATAGGCACTAAAGGACGCATACAGCTTCTGTAAATATATTTAAGTTTTATAGCATATATAGTTTAAATAATTTTTATATAGTTCTAAAGTACTGCAATTGTAAAGGTGAATTACAATCATTTAAGTCACAGTGTTTACATTAAGACTGCAGGCGAAGGTGGCCCAAATGCATTATTATTATTATTATTTCTGCACATTTTGCGACTCAGTGACAGCTTTATAACAGCTAAACTTGCACTCTTTCTTCTTGTCCATGTCCATTTATCTTTTCTGCATGATCTCACTGGATCCAGTGGCATGTAAATGCAATTAAACAGGAGTTAAACATTATTGTCACGTTCAGCAGCTGGAGTGCCCTTGATAGCCACCAGAGGGCACTGCAACCCAGACTACTTCCACTCTATCAAGGACTACATTTCCCATAAAGTGAGGTGAAGCCAAGTATGGTGTCTCATACTGCATTTAACCCATTCAAGTGCACACACACAGCAGTGAGTAGTGAACACACACCCGGAGCAGTGGGCAGCTATTTCTGCTGTGGCAGCCGGGGGGCATTTGGGTGTTTGGTGCCTTGCTCACTGTATTTAAGCCTGATTATCTCTTCTCACTCATGACAAAGTATTGTATGTGTCTTCTGAGCACTTCTCTGTTTGTCTGTTCCTTGCTTTTGTTTTGACCCTGTAGCCTGTTTTCTGGATTTGCCCTGTTTGCCTGAGTTTCTGTCCTGGTATTTTTTTGGATTGCTTGCCTGTGTGTTTTGAACTATTGCCTGTTTAATTGATTACGTTTCTGGATTATCACAATGAACTGCATGTGGATCCTCAACCTTTGGGTCTCCGAGCAGTTTGTGACAATTATATATCGTCCCCATCTACAGAGTGTTAAAGTAACACTGAAGCAGTGTTGTATTTAACTCTGAGGATTCTGTGCAGTTCACGCTCAAATCTGATACTGCCAGAATTAAAAAAAAATAAATAATAATAATAATGTAATGTAAGTAATAATGTAATAATGTAAAACAAGAAATTAACATCACTAAATGCTAACGCACAAAAAAATAACAATACAATAGAAATATAAGTTTAATTTAAACACATTTCCAAAATATGTTTAGAGAACAGGACTGTGTGACCAGACTTTAGTTGTAATATTAGCTTATGTGTAATTGTCCATTAAAGACCATATTTGCAGTAAAATAAATCAAGTATTAGTCATTCTTTTTGTCTTTTAGTCTACTCTTTCAAAAGTCTTTTATCTGTCCCCTGGATATCTTTGTTATTGTGTCACGTGATTCTGTACAGCACTTACTCATATTTTAAAGCAGTCAATGCAATTTATGAAATAAATCAATTAAATCTGTATGTGGGTGTGTGCAAATATTCAGATGTAACCCCCTTTGTAATCGTTAACATTTTCATAAATAACTGTAATTTTTTTTCTCAGTCACTGTAACCGATTAGTTACATTTATTTTGTAATTAAATTACGTAATTCCCTTACATGTAACTAGTTACTCCCCAACACTGGTAATCTGTACGTGAATTAGAGATCGCCTCATTACCCTTTAAAACCCATATGAAAACGCCGGCAAGCTTTAATGCTTAAAATGATATGAAATCAAATCAATATTCAGGAATTGTCATGATAGGTAGTGTAGAACCTATTGTATGCATTGTTCCTGCCAACCCTTATATACAAAGAATGTATTAAATATTTTTGTAATCACACCCTCATTGGGGCTGAGCCCCCTAATATTGAAATCCTAGAACCGGCCCTGCGATGGGTGAGCGGATCATCTCAGTCATCAACACTCCAGGATTGCTTGATACAACAATAACAAACGAAGAAATAAAAGGAGAAATAGTGAAGTGTGTCTACATGTCTAGCTATGCTAATCTCTAATTTGGTTTAAATGTAATTAGAATCGCTGGATGGAGTTGTTTGAGATAATGAAATACTCCCATGCTGATTTTTCTGAGCATACTGACGGTCTACATCTACACATTTCAGAGTTTATCTAATTGTAAAAAGCAGAAAATAGACTTTCTCTTTCTTTCTGAACATTCAGTTAAAAAAGGCATTGACACATTGTAAATTTAATATTTATTGTGCACTTTTAGTTAGATTCATAGTTCAAAATGGTAGTTTTTGCAAGTGTGACGAAATCAGTGAGCTTGCCGTGAACATGCGTCTGTGATTATAAAGGGAGCGCTCGTTGTACGCTTCCTGTCTAATTCATTTATAATTTGAAGAACATTTTTTGCTCTATCATCACTCGATTAATCACTTAATTATCTAATCAACTGCAGTGCTGCTTCAGTCTTATTTTTAGCACTCTGTAGTATGCATACTGAGCGGTGTTCATTTCATTCTCTCATCTGGGCTGACCCATGTGGGGCCATCATGGAAACTGAGGACAAATCTGGCTGGGCCCCAGTTAGGTAGCTTAGGTGCCACCCATAGGAGTCCCACATGGGTTTGCTTGCTTAATGCGTTACTTTTAAGTAAATTTCCCCAGCACTAGAAACAAATATATTAGGCCTACTGGAAATAGCTTATATGTGCTAAATAGTGTTCCTCTGCTGCCATCTACTGGTTATAGTCCATCTACCGGGTTTGATGTTCTGCTTTGTCCATCCGTAGGTTAAAACACTGGCATGTTTTTATTTATAAACCTATCCTGGGTTTACTTCCCTCATATCTTAATACTTACATCTGTAAAAAAATATGTTCCTAGCTATAGCCTTCAGTCCCAGGAATTGTTCTTATTGTCTGTTCCAGTGGTTCGTACTGAACTAGGGAAAAAGTCATTTAAATTTTCTGCTCCCTTTGCCTGGAATAATTTGCAAATTAAATTACTGCTTAAGGAGTTGGTTTCACTAGATGTTTTTAAAATGATTTTAAATAACTTGGAGACGGAAACATTGGGCTGTAGATGTTTTGATTAGTTATGTATTGATATCCTTGTGTGTGTGTGTGTGTGTGTGTGTGTGTGTGTGTGTGTGTGTGTGTGTGTGTGTGTGACCAGACTTTAGTTGTAATATTAGCTTATGTGTAATTGTCCATTAAAGACCATATTTGCAGTAAAATAAATCAAGTATTAGTCATTCTTTTTGTCTTTTAGTCTACTCTTTCAAAAGTCTTTTATCTGTCCCCTGGATATCTTTGTTATTGTGTCACGTGATTCTGTACAGCACTTACTCATATTTTAAAGCAGTCAATGCAATTTATGAAATAAATCAATTAAATCTGTATGTGGGTGTGTGCAAATATTCAGATGTAACCCCCTTTGTAATCGTTAACATTTTCATAAATAACTGTAATTTTTTTTCTCAGTCACTGTAACCGATTAGTTACATTTATTTTGTAATTAAATTACGTAATTCCCTTACATGTAACTAGTTACTCCCCAACACTGGTAATCTGTACGTGAATTAGAGATCGCCTCATTACCCTTTAAAACCCATATGAAAACGCCGGCAAGCTTTAATGCTTAAAATGATATGAAATCAAATCAATATTCAGGAATTGTCATGATAGGTAGTGTAGAACCTATTGTATGCATTGTTCCTGCCAACCCTTATATACAAAGAATGTATTAAATATTTTTGTAATCACACCCTCATTGGGGCTGAGCCCCCTAATATTGAAATCCTAGAACCGGCCCTGCGATGGGTGAGCGGATCATCTCAGTCATCAACACTCCAGGATTGCTTGATACAACAATAACAAACGAAGAAATAAAAGGAGAAATAGTGAAGTGTGTCTACATGTCTAGCTATGCTAATCTCTAATTTGGTTTAAATGTAATTAGAATCGCTGGATGGAGTTGTTTGAGATAATGAAATACTCCCATGCTGATTTTTCTGAGCATACTGACGGTCTACATCTACACATTTCAGAGTTTATCTAATTGTAAAAAGCAGAAAATAGACTTTCTCTTTCTTTCTGAACATTCAGTTAAAAAAGGCATTGACACATTGTAAATTTAATATTTATTGTGCACTTTTAGTTAGATTCATAGTTCAAAATGGTAGTTTTTGCAAGTGTGACGAAATCAGTGAGCTTGCCGTGAACATGCGTCTGTGATTATAAAGGGAGCGCTCGTTGTACGCTTCCTGTCTAATTCATTTATAATTTGAAGAACATTTTTTGCTCTATCATCACTCGATTAATCACTTAATTATCTAATCAACTGCAGTGCTGCTTCAGTCTTATTTTTAGCACTCTGTAGTATGCATACTGAGCGGTGTTCATTTCATTCTCTCATCTGGGCTGACCCATGTGGGGCCATCATGGAAACTGAGGACAAATCTGGCTGGGCCCCAGTTAGGTAGCTTAGGTGCCACCCATAGGAGTCCCACATGGGTTTGCTTGCTTAATGCGTTACTTTTAAGTAAATTTCCCCAGCACTAGAAACAAATATATTAGGCCTACTGGAAATAGCTTATATGTGCTAAATAGTGTTCCTCTGCTGCCATCTACTGGTTATAGTCCATCTACCGGGTTTGATGTTCTGCTTTGTCCATCCGTAGGTTAAAACACTGGCATGTTTTTATTTATAAACCTATCCTGGGTTTACTTCCCTCATATCTTAATACTTACATCTGTAAAAAAATATGTTCCTAGCTATAGCCTTCAGTCCCAGGAATTGTTCTTATTGTCTGTTCCAGTGGTTCGTACTGAACTAGGGAAAAAGTCATTTAAATTTTCTGCTCCCTTTGCCTGGAATAATTTGCAAATTAAATTACTGCTTAAGGAGTTGGTTTCACTAGATGTTTTTAAAATGATTTTAAATAACTTGGAGACGGAAACATTGGGCTGTAGATGTTTTGATTAGTTATGTATTGATATCCTTGTGTGTGTGTGTGTGTGTGTGTGTGTGTGTGTGTGTGTGTGTGTATGGATGGATGTTATCTGTTAAACCCACATGAGCTGTGTTACTGTCAGTCTTGGCCATGATGCTCTTGTAAAAGAGATTTTTAATCTCAGTGTGCTTCTTTTCCTGGTAAAATAACAGTTAAATAAAATAAAATTATAGCCTAGTGGTATTTTATTTATTTTTTATTTTATTTTATTTTATTTTATTTTCAAGTCTCAAGTCTAATTTATTTATAGAGCCCTTCCCACTACAAAGTAGACTAAAAGACTGTACAGTAAAGCAAGTAAAGTACAATAATACAAGAAGCAAACAAAAGACAAAAATTAACAACAGGAAAAATAAAATAACAAAATGAAATAAAAATAAAACAAAATACAACTTCCAAAAATTCAACTATTAAAAGCCATGAAGAACAAGTTTGTTTTCAATCGAGAATTAGTATATTAGTTCAATTATATTTTTGTATTCAACATTTTGTATTTTACGGGGATTTTCTGGTACTAAATGTTTACTAAATATTTACTCTAAATTATGCACCATGGTGTAACCACTACATGGCTGTATAGCCCTATATTTAAATATATAAACAGGGCTGTGTATTCCTTAGTTGCTGGGAACATTGCAACATAATTACTTACTTGTATTAGATCTATACAGTATTTAGACTATTAAAGAATATTGTTCTTCGACAGGAAAGTGAAAACTTTGTATTGTCTTATAAGTATAGCCTCGATTTACAAGAAAAAACAAAACTGAAATCTCCAATTGTCTTTGAGTTCAAAAATGATCATCTATTTAATGTGGGTGTGTTCGTCTTGATGCGGCGCTGCGCAGAACGATCGGTGTTTGACATCAAAGCACCGCGAGAGCGATTATAGAGGAGAGGCTCTGATCGGTCTGCGCAGCGCCGCCTCGAGACGCACACACCTCATTTCAGTCGCTTACTCACCTGAGACCTGCAGATCGCAAGTGGACAAACCTGAGCTTACCAGACATTAACACGGTCAACATCAACAAGTAAGTTTGCTCATGATGGTTTTTAAAGGTTTATTTTTATGATTCACCAGGAAACAAAGTCATCATTGTTACTCCAGTCAGTGCTTCTAGAAATAATTAAAGCTACATGGTCGGTTCTTCTTCTGCCAAAATATGTTGCGATGTGCAGGACTTTTTGTTAAGTATCATAAGTCTGGAAACTACTAGTAGCCTATTTACAGCAAATGCCAGCAAAATCGTGGAAGAGGCTTGTCTTCCATAGCCTGTCTTACAGTGAGATTGATTACAATCTAACATACTGTACACACAGCACTCAGACTGTTATTGGGCCAGTTATCCAGCTTATTTTTTTTTTACGCAAGAGTGATGCGGTTAGTTGTAGCTTTAATGTGCAAGGTTTCCAGTGTCATTTGCTGTGTGTTCATGGACTTTTAAATTGTATGACTAGTTTTATGTTCTTGTTTGTATTCTTTCTCCTTGGTTCTCTTCCCCAGGTGTGTCTTGTTAAGCTTGCTTGCCCATTTAGTCCTTGTGTTGCTTTGTCAGATGTTGTTTGTAATGGATGTATTGTGCCTTTTTGTGTGCTGGTTTCGTTTTCATCAAACTACTCCTTGCACATAGATCCCCGTCTCTGCCTGCCTGTTCCCATTCTCAGCATTGCATTGATGTTACTTAAGTTATTTTAATTTATTTTTGTAATCATAAGCACACTGGTCTGTTAGCACAAATAGTTTAGCTGTTTGCTGCACTTTGTTGTTCTTCCAGTTTTTTTTTTACATATAGTGGCTAATGAATATGAAGTCTCGCACATTCAAAGAAAAGACTGACTTCTGTGTTGTAAAATAAAGTGGATAGTATGTTCTGAGAGTGCAGTGTTTTCAGCGGAGTATATCATGAATACAAATGTGAACTAAAAAGGGTAAGTTTATTGTAATATTGTATTTATTTATTTCACAGTGGAAGAAGATCTGAGGATTGTTCTGCTGGGTAAAACTAGATCAGGAAAGAGTTCAACAGGTAACACTATACTGGGTAGAGATGTGTTCAGAGTGAGTAACTATGCTGGGCCTACAACCAGACAGTGTTTACAAAGAAGAACAACGAATGGAGCAAATGGCATCTCTGTGATCGACACACCTGGACTGTTTCACACGTCCATGACTGAAAAACAGCTGAAGGCTGAGATTGAGAAGAGTTTGCAGATGTCTGCTCCTGGTCCTCATGCGTTTCTGCTGGTCATCAGACTCGGGAGATTCACAGAGGAAGAGAAAAACACAGTCAAGTGGATTCAGGAGAACTTTGGAGAAGATGTTAAGAGATTCGCCATGCTGTTGTTCACAGGAGCTGATCAATTAAACAAACCTTTAGAAGAACTTCTGCAGGAAAACCCAGAGCTGCAGAAGTTAGTGGCTGATTATGGGGGAAGGTATCATGCCTTCAATAATGTGGAGAACAACGATCAAGCTCAAGTCAATGAACTGCTGGAGAAAATCAACAACACAATAGTTGAGATAAATAAGAAAGGATGCTACACCATTGAGATGTTCAAGAAGACTCGGAGAAAGACATTCATGATAAAAATGTTAAAGATATTTGGCGTTTTAACATTAACATATGTATTATATAAAAAATGGAGATTCTGGCAGACAGTGACATACATATGTAAGTAATGCTGTTAAAATCGGAGTAATATTTGTCATTTTTGAGAAAGTAGCCTACAGCAATATACTGTGAATAATCAGCGTTCAGAGTCTACACTCCGAGACTGTGTCCCAAATCACACCTACACCCTCATTCACTATTCCCTACATGAGTTTACTAATACAGTCCACTTAACAGAGAGAATGAAAGCAAGTGAGTGAATTCAGACTCTGATGAACAACTGCTGTTAACAGCAGATTTAATGAAGGAAAGAGAAACAAGAACTACAAATTGCTTCCAGCCACAAAATGTCACACTTTACACTTCCAGAGTGAGGAATAGGGCTAAGGAAATCACTCTGGACTCCACACACCCAGCACACTCTCTCTCTGAACTGTTGCCCTCTAGCCAGTGCTACAGAGCACTGAGCACCAGAACAGCCAGACACAAGAAGAGTTGTTTTTCCCGCAGGCCATATTCAACCTAAACAATACATAACACATCTCAGGACTCTACCTCTGTAAATAGCACCTATGTACATTCACATTTCTGTCTACTGACATTTTATTTTTCTCTATATTTTATTACTATATTGTTATTTATAATTTATTGTCTATTCTCTTTATTATTAGTGTTTTATTACCTTAAATTATAGTTATGTCTGCACTATGTTTGTACCTTCTGTACTGGAAGCTCCTGACACAAATTCCATGTGTGAAAACACACTTGGCAATATACAGTATATAAACATTTGCTGTGTAAATTGCTAGGAATACATCAAGAAATGTTAACTATTTAAAAAAAATAATTATGTAAGTAGACTTTTATTTCAGTTAGTAAGATTACAGACACGTGCGTATGTTGTTTCTTTATACATTCAGCTATGTGGACAATCTTAACATCATTATTTAGCAGTAAGACATTTTAAGATGAATTTGTTTCTTGAAACTGTCCTTTTCTGTGATAATTTATTTAGAAGACCCATGATTCTAGGGCAGTTAACAGGGGTGTCTAGTACATTACAACTAAATTAGCTTCTTTTTTCACAAGGCTTTTCACTTGAGCACAAAGAGCTTTTAACCAAATCACCATGCACAACTTGTATGAGGAAGTAAACAAGAGTGAGTCATGAAACATGAAAGTGAAAGTTACCAGAGGCCAACAATGGAAGGTGTGTTTGAGGAACACATGCAGTTTACCTAGTGGCTTTCCTATGACAGCCTGCTGGCATTGACAGTGTAGCTATTATTTATAGTGCATTCATTGTCTTATATATATATATATATATGTATATATGTGTGTGTGCATGCAGTACATGTGATGTGTAGTTTTATTGTATTCATTGCATTAGCCCTTTTTCAATAAAACATAAAGCATCAAGATCTAAACCTCTGTTAATTCTCAAAAAGAGCTTCTCTAGACGTCTGACAGAAATAAAGTCAGTCTGGTTAGTAATGAGTGAAGCTGCTGCTGCTGTTTGTGGAGTTGTTTAATCAGATCTTGAGAGATTTAATGTCTTATTTTATTTCAGTTGAATTCATCTAAGGCCGTGGCTGGAAGTATATATAATCATATCCATTTAGTTATTTTTATTTATTTATTTATTTTTTTACCGTGCAACCTTACTCTGCTGTTAAATGTCACTAAGCACTTGCTGGGGGTTATGGAAGGTTAGATATGCATGCAAAGTAAGGTGTGTAGGAATCGTTTCTGTATAGTGTCAAATACTGTGTTTTTTTTTTTTTATAGACATTGGTTTATAATGTTAGAGGTTACATATTGAATCTTCAATAATATTAGCAATATCATTGTTTCTGTGAGTTGGTCATTATGTATGTTTTTAGAAAGTTAAGACTTTGAATTAATCATTAAATATCTGTTCCTGAATTCTGCTCCACTTTTAGGACTAGGTGGAACAATTAATTATAATTGAAGTCAATCAGTAGCACTGTACAGCACTGCAGCAAGTGCTTGGGCCACATAATGAACACTCAGAATTTAAACTGTGTGTGTGTGTGTGTGTTTGTGTTTGTGTGTATTAATCTGAGACCGGTGATACCAGTGGAACTGTCGTCCACATCTGCAATGTTGATGATAATAATAATTAAAAATTAATAAACACAGGCTTTTCTACATGCATGTGCCCAACCTATTTCTGCTGTCTAAAACTGTCTGGCCTAAACCTTAAAAATAATCATTGTAAATCTTAGCTGGACTTTGAAATTATGGTCTACTTGTATTTAACTTGGCCACACAATTCGTTATCATTGACGTCAATCAAACAGCGCCAAAGTCTATTTGAATTAGTCTGAATCATTAAAGACAAATGATCTTATACAGGTGCATCTCGATAAATTAGAATGTCATGGAAAAGTTCATTTCAGTAATTCAACTCAAATTGTGAAACTCGTGTATTAAATAAATTCAGTGCACACAGACTGAAGTAGTTTAAGTCTTTGGTTCTTTTAATTGTGATGATTTGGGCTCACATTTAACAAAAACCCACCAATTCACTATCTCAACAAATTAAAATATGGTGACATGCCAATCAGCTAATCAACTCAAAACACCTGCAAAGGTTTCCTGAGCCTTCAAAATGGTCTCTCAGTTTGGTTCACTAGGCTACACAATCATGGGGAAGACTGCTGATCTGACAGTTGTCCAGAAGACAATCATTGACACCCTTCACAAGGAGGGTAAGCCACAAACATTCATTGCCAAAGAAGCTGGCTGTTCACAGGAACTTGTCCATGACATTCTAATTTATTGAGATGCACCTGTAGTACAATGAAAAGCTATATATTATATGTAGGGATCTTTCACTCACTGGTCTAGATTCTGTTTGTGGGCCAGTGATTCCTACATTTATATACATCATGTAATTAAAACACAGAGGTTAAACATTAACTCAGACAAGCTGAAACCTGTTAGTGAAGCTTCAGTCATCTATAGCTGCACTGTAGACGCTAGACATTTTACAAGTATAACAACTTGAAGACTGGAGAGCAAGATCTGGCAAAATGGCTCTGAATCAGCAGCAACCCCCATTTATCAATCCAGTAAGTGACTAATATTATACATGACTGCAATACTCTTTTCTTGCTGCAGTGCTGCCCAAAATATTATTGTGCTGGGCATTATATGAATATTTATTCGCTACAGCTTTGTAACTGGAATGGAACAGTCGTTTGCTACTTGGGCATGAGAATTCGCTCCATTAGTCTTTTATGCATTTTTTATACCTTATATGAAACTCCTTTGAAACACTTTCAGTACTGCAGAGCTGAACCCCTAAATTAGTAAAGCTAAATTACTTTATTCTTGTGCAATCACAAGTTTGCTAAACCTGAATATATCTTAAGTTTTATTTGAGCTCATTCAATTTGAGAAATTCCATGGCATTCATTATCTTGTCTTTGTGTTTTCAATGGTTTGAGCCTGAACGTGTTTAACTGGTGTGGAAAAAGACATTCAGATTCCATTTCAGAAGTACAAGCCAAAATTTAAAGACTTTCCAAAACACACAGAGACAGAAATGGGGTAAAACAAGGCTTAACATTGTGAGTGTTGTTACAAGATGGAGGAATTTGATGCAATGTTTGGGTTTAAATTGATACGACAAACCCGCAGGGTTTCTTCTCCACAGGTAAGCTACACTTGAAGTTAAAAGTTTTCATTTTATGTTGGACCATTTCTTGAAATTCCTAATAGGTTGAACCTTTTATTGAAAGTAGCCTACTTTTTGTCTGTTGAGACATGCCTTCACTTTTATAGACCCGTAAGTGCTGTGTTTATGATGTCGCGTAACGAGTGAAACGGGTGTTTGCAATGTTTGTTTGAAAACATGCTTTATTTCTGTAGTTCCGCTAGATCAGTGAATCTCAACCTTTTGGTGTACCGGACCCCAGTCCAATTCAGAACCATCCTCAAGGACCCCCAGAACAAAATTTACTCATCTATGTATCATTTGTGTCTTTGTGAGGACCAAATACAGTCAAGTATAATGCAGGTTAGCTGACTTGTCCAGTATTTGGCCATATCATCAGCTATATTGGATTTTTCTTTGTCAAAATATACAACATTTATACAAAAATTCATAATTTATACGGACCCCCTGGCCTTACGTCAAGGACCACTAGGGGTCCACGGACCCCTGGTTGAGAAACACTGCGCTAGATGACACTAGTAGCGCAGAAACTGGGTTGTGGCTAGAAGGGATACAGCTATGGCCAGAAAATAACTAAATTAAATTTGCCACCTATTAGACTGTGTTAATGTCTACACCTACCCCAACCCTAAACTTAGCCTTACAATAATGCAAATACAGTAACACATTGTTGTTCAGCGTGACAAAAATTATGCAATATTGATGTGTGCGTGTCAAGTTTTCGCAGGATGTCCACGCAGAACGTAGGCAGGCATTATCCAAATGCATTAAATTGTGACGTATGAACTTTGCGGAAATGGGATTCGAAATGAAAAAGACTCGTTTCAGCGGTGCATAGTCGACTCTTTCTTTTGAGAGACAATAACTTTATGATGCACTTTCAACTTTACAACTTTGCAGACTGTTTACATTCACATACAGCTGCATTAAAGGTAATTTTCAAAAATCCATAATAGGGGCACTTTAAAAGAATATTTCATATATCTGGCATTTGACATATTTTGTCTTTTTAATATAAAAATGTATTTTAACCAATATCAGAACCTTCATTCAGTGGACGTTTTGTCTAGAATTCGTTGAGCCATTGATCATACTTCAAATTTCACTGTGCAAGTCTTAATTTCTCTTAATCACAATATGAATAGACCCATTTCGAATTACTTCAAGAATAAGCATACCTGCCAACCCGTTTCAGTTCTGATGATGCAGTTTATCTGGATGCCACCCCAAGCCATCCAAGATGTATAGGTCTTTCTTTCTTTAGCTGAAATTAAGGTTTTGGAGGAAAACATTCCAGGGAATGTAGACCATTTTTGACATTCTAAAATCCATATTTAGGTAGCTTCATATTAATCCTCACAACCCCAGCTGACAAATAAGAGTCATCTCTAGCAAAACAATGTCATTTTCAGAAATAAATAAAATAAAAAAATCTAATTAAAATTATACTTTTTAACTACAAATGCTAGCTTTGGCCTAGCTCTGCGATGTGCGTTCCCAGTGTGCATACGTCACTCAAGGGCCATTTACTAAACTGTCTCACATTTGTAGTTAAAAATTATATAATTTCTTGCTCTTTTTAACAACAATTTGAGACCAATATAATGCAATTTAATTTAACACACTTGCGAGTGCATTTTGAACAGGGACTTGGGTGCGTAGACCCATAGAAAATATTGTTTTTGAAATTTAAAGTCTTGGCGTGACCCTTTTCATTCAGTGTGTGAACAACATTACGCCCCTCTGTCTCTTCCCTTCAACCCATCTGGGCCCCACTTTTTTTTGATACATTCTGTGATCCATGGGGGGAAAAACACTGGAATTGTTGCCA